ACACTCGAGTACACTGTGAGTACGCGTCAACAAGAAAAAGCGGAAGTCACATTGTAAACTGCGGAGACTCATACAAGATGCCGCTGATATGTCGTGGGCTCATCTGGTTTAGGACGATGTTATATAGTGCTTTCCATTGCAGGACACTGCAATCGGCAAGCCAGCGGATTCTCTCTGCTAGCCAATGACAAGTCCTAAAAGATCCACGTGATCATGCCCGTGATCGGAAACAAAGACGACTCCATTTGGCGCTCATCTTTGAATGTACTTTTCATCGGTTGATCGCTTTTCTCAACTGTTTTGCTTAATATAACATTTCTAAAGATAGCTTTTATTGTGGTTCAATGGGAAAACGAGAACAGCGTGAGTGTTGTAAAAGAAAAGAAAGTCGTTGGCGCCGTGGAGTTAAAAGAAGGGACAACAGTTGACATATTGACTGGTACAAACAAGGGTCGAATGGCCGTCTGTAAAGCTACGATTTTGAAAGTTTGTGGTGAGTAAAAATTGCGATATTCGTTACGTGATCAAAATCTTATAAAAGAATAGATGTAGCGGGTTGAATTAAGCTTACATAACGCTCGGCGCAACTGAAACTAGAATAATTCTGAGAATCGAATCGGTCACTTGCATGCCGCAGTTTCTTAAGCTTATTATGCTTTACAATGAAATAAACCTATCAGTAAGGTTTCAAGATTCCTCTAGTCACGTTTGGGAACATTCAAGATTCAAAATAGAAACTGTTATTAAACAAACCTTAGTACATAAAGAAGCCCTCCTTGGTAAAAACAAAATAATGTATTCAGCCCTTTTTTAGTAACATCCATGAGAGAGATGTACTAACTCCAATATGAAAGTCACTCAATATTACAGAGATTTCTCAATTTGAGAATCCAATGAATGCCCTTTTCCTCATAGCCATCTTAAAAGCCTGGTCTGAGCTTTAAATATACATATTTTAATATATTTTTTTTTTTCAAATTCAGATGTCAAGGAATCAAGATACAAAATGGTCAAGGTTCTTGTTGACAACCTCATTCAAGGCCAACTCATTGTGAGCCCAGGAAAAAAAATACAAACAGTACAAACAGCAGCTAAGTTTGCAGTTTAGGATAACTTCATTCTAATTTATTGTTACGGTTACAACAAGATTTTAATCAAAAAATCAATTTTATTTGTCTGTAATAATTAGCCCCTTCACTCCCAAGAGTGCTTGGTTTTCAAATATAACTTAAGATATTGTATTTTATGGAAAAGAATCAACAGATTTTATTCACAATTTGTGTCAAACCAAATTTAATGATTGATTAGAACTATTTTATATGAATAGCTGTAATTGAGGATTAATCCATATGAAGTTTTCAAGAAAAGAAAAATAAATCAAATTCCATCCTAATATTACCACACATTGATGTTAATAATTAATCAAAAATATTTTACATGTAAGCCTTAAATTAAGCTTCTAAATAAATTTCATTGAATACTTGAATTTTAGCTGGGTTTTTTTAATTTAAAGTATTTATTTTATATCATTAGCCTCAAATTTTTGCTTAAAATTCCCAGTAATTCTGAAACATTCCTAAAAATTCCCAGAAATTCCCAGAAATTCCTAGGAATTTTTTAGATTTACAGCTTTTCAGGGAAAGTCATTGGTTCTCTGAGTTGGAATTCCTAGGAATTCCTAGGAATTCCAAGTCCTGTTGGCTATAAACTGGGAATTTCTGGGAATTTCTAGGAATTTCTAGGTTTTTAGAACCAGAGTTGTTATGGTTGGGAATTCCTAGGAATTCCTAGGAATTCCCAGTCCGAATTTACCGTGAAAATTCACACCTTTATTCCTAGGAATTCCTAGGAATTCCAAAAGCCATTTCGCAAGGGTAGGGCCAATACAAACAATTTGGAAATGAACATTATAAATAAACATAGACTTTAAATATCTTAACTGGCCAGAGGCAAACCAGTTGGCCAAAATAGGTACCATGGCCAATGATTTGACCTAAGGCAACCAAGAAAAAACTCAGTGAGAAGCAGGGTGGAGGGCTTGAACCTGGAACCAGCTGATTACAAGACCAGTGCCTTAATCCTGTAACTCCCAAGATCTGGTTGTTAATTCTCTCCTCTTGCTGCTACACAATTCCTTGTAAATTGGTTAGGAGAATTTGATATGAGATCAAGATAAAAACTTCTTCCTGATAAGTTTTGGTATTCTCATAAACTGTTTACTAGAAAAAGTATGGATATCATAGGGAGAAGTTACATGTTAATCGCTTCTGGGAGTTACCAGGTTAACCACTCAGCTACATTGCCTCACAATATCATTAATTTTTTCCAGAGTGAAATTATATATTGTAATACCTTAATAAATCTGAAACATTTCTCGAGAAACATTTAATTGCTTTTTGTTTAGTACTATTTTAAAATCAAACTTAAAAAAAGAAAAAAAAGTGAGATCAACCCACTCTTAAGTCTATCTTAGATTCCCAAAAGGTTACAGGAAACTTTTTATAATGATTTCCACTAACATTTATAGAATTACTGTTAGTGTTTAGTATTATTGGTTGCAAACCAATTTTTAAGTTGCCTTTTTATTATTATTAAAATAATATTTCAATTTCAAATATTATACCAATGCACTTTTGTATCTATAGAAGTTAGCTATTAACTTAGGATGAAATAAAATTTTTCATTGTTGAAACTGCAATAAGCCTGTAAGTCTCCTGGCCTTTAATAACAACACCACCAACCAAATTAAAAAGAAGATTTATTGTAGCCGACGTGCTTGGTACTAAGAGTGTGGGTTGAAACTAAAACGGTAAAAAAGCAAAAAAGTTACAAGTTGCGACTAAGGTAAATTAGAGTAAGGAAATAACAAAACTGCAAAACGAGGACTGTGAAGTACACTTACATTGTTTCGGCCAGAGAAAACTTCTGTAAAGCGGACTGCGAATAACGCGAAGAGACTTGCAACAAAACTAAACAGAACTGCGCTAAGCGCGGACCAAACTGAACTGCCCAAACTGTACTGCAAAACTACGATATGAAAATACGCTAGAACATGCGGAAAATAAAACTATAGAAAGGCGCTAATGAAGATGAAACAGCACGGAAACGCTAACGAGGGCGCGAAAACTGACAGAAAGGGATAAGGGACGAAAAAAAATATAAACTAATTTGCGTACGCAAAGGAAAAACAAATTACGCAAGAACGAATAATAGAAAAAATGTTACACTTGGATCTTACAATTGTGTAAAATTATTTTATCACAATCAACCAGTAAGGTTTAATTACTTTTTCAATAATCAGTGTAGAGGCAAAACCAAGAACAGAAAATAAAGATTGCTCAAGGTTGATGATTATCAAATTCTGATTGTTTTAATTGTATCTTCCTGATCTTATTTATTAATTTTATGGTTAATATTGATATATAATTTTGTCTTTGGCAAAGAATGCTTTTGGGGATGAAAGTGTCTCTAAATTGAAAACTGTTTTTCACCTTCATGAGCCTTGCTCTTCATCTTATCCTCTGCCATTGCAATTTTTAAGGTTGACTGGTCATTAACATGAAAGAAATGAAACTAAAAGTGACTTTTATGTGCTTCATCCTCAGCATATTCATTAAAAAAAAATCATCAACTCTCTTAATCAACAACACAGCCATCTTAAATTAGCAAATAAAGGTGACTTTCAATATTCTTTCTATGATAAGGATTCCATGCCTTCCACTGTGCTTGAGCTTAACATCTGAGGAGGAATTGAAAGGAAATTACTACAATGAAGAGATGATTATTCTGTACAACAAGAAATAAGACAGCATTAAACTTGGTTATTAAAAAAAATTCTTTAAAATGTATGGCATGTTCCTTCTTTTTAGGTTCACCATTGATGTGTGTAGTTAGCCTTCAGAACAGGTGTAATTTTGGCAGGTGAGTGGTTAGTATTTTATCAGTGAAAGTTAAAACTGCCATCTTTGACTTTTTCAGAAGTGGAAGATTTAAGAGTGAAAGAAATTTTTACCAAGGGTTTGGGCAATGATCAAAAGGAAGGAGAGGGGAGTGGGTGGGACTATAGAGATTTCTCCTCATCCTTCCACACAGCTTCCCCAAATCAAAAAGCTTTAGAGAGCTAGCAACATTAACTCGGTTTAGTCGGAGGCCTTTACTGCACCCAATAGTGTGGGTTGCCTCAATGAAAAGCAAATATTCCAAAGCAAAGAAGTGTGGAGAAAAAAAGGTCAGTTGTGAGATGCTGGTTGATTGAAGACCAAATTCTCAAAGCTTGAATCCGAAGAATACAGGACAGTCAGTGCTGACAAAATATATTGAAATCTAAGGAGTAAAAAGGTTAGATATTGTGAGGACTAGTGACAAAGGTTGGATGAGTTACACATGCACAGTAAAACAATGGTATGTAGTCACCGTTTCATCATTTGGGTACTAACAACTGAGTCGATAACAAGAATTAGGCACCTTCAGAGCAAATGATGAAGGGTTAATGCTCAAAATGTCAGCTTTGATATTCTTAACGATAGCCAATTAATATGTTATAAACTTTGTTCACATATAATACTAAATTACTTTGTTGGAAGAGTTACACATGCACAGTAAAACCACGATATATTTAGTCACCAGTTTTATCAGCTTGGTCAAACACTGTGTTGTAATGGAGGAAACTGCCTTTTTGTGCATTTCAGTCACTGTTTAAGGTAACGTTTTGATACTGTCTGGCCACTTGGTTTCAAAAGCATCAATTAATACTATCACTCAACCTAGCCTTCAAAGTAACTGGGCAGTTTTATAACTGCTGATATCTGAAACACACAAAACACACCCAAAACACCCAATCTCCTGTCATTTATTTATGTATCATCACCTGTCATCTCTAACTTTCTGTGTTATGAATGCAATAATTTAAGAACAGCTATTGAAATGCATAACTAGAACTTAAAAGAGTATCTTGGAATGTGCAAGTCTCTAAAAGAGTTATGAAGTGAGCATCACAGAGAAACACTTTACCTGAAAGAATAGATATAACCAACTTTCCTTGCTTGTTGACCTCCATTTTCTTCCCATACCCTGGGGCATGTATCTCATTTGTTCCATTTTCTATTATTTTTTTTTTGTAGTTTAAAATAGTTACAGAGGTGTGCATTTGCAGTGGGTTTGATGGCTGTTGTCTAGATAAGGAACTACATGGACTCAAAGTATTTATTCTGAGCATCTCAAATTCTTTTCCTTTTTGTTTTTGGAATAGATGACAGTGTAGATTCACCAGGATTCTGTTGATGGAAAACAAACACAATGTTTCATTCAAAGATTATTCAGTACTGTTAAGACTTGAAGGGTGGTGAAATAATTGAAAGACTGGGAGAGTTGACTTACTATCACAAGGTTTAAAGTGATTTAATAATTAAAGTTATTATATACTGATATAACTATACCTTTTTGACAATCTAAAACCAAATTCTCATGACTGATGTCTATAAAGTTCTTTCCTTCCTGGTCCAGAGAATTTGGTGATAGATTCAAACATTAATGCAGTGGATCAAAATTGTAACAAGTAATCACTCCAGGAAGAAAAAGTTGACCCAACTTCACTGTTCTTATTACCTGAATAATATGAAGCTGCACATTTTCTTCAGCTGAAGATGAAATGTTATTTGTACTCTGACATGCTCCTGAGAGCTGCAAAGGAAGAAACCATTGCCAGTTTGGTATGATTATTCTGGGTGATATACTCTACAGTTTACACCTAACTGTTTACAACTTTGAAAAATCATTACAACTGCAATGTCCATGTACAATACTGTGAATCACATTGCACTCAAGCAATAGAAGACATTCTCTGTGTTCGAATGGCCTTGTCTAAACAGAGGGGTTAGAAGGATGAATTACGGTCAACTCACTGACGGACCAACTCGCTGACGTATAAAATCGAGTAGAGACGTCGGCGAGTTGGTCCTCAATCCAATACAACTTATTAGAAGTTAAACATACAGAAAAGTAAACGATATTTAATGTAGCTGTTAAATATATCTGAACATTTATTTTTGTGAACAGTATCAAGAGGGCCAAGAGCTAATAGTGGAAGGACATTTATTTCAAGAAATCAACCCTCCAGCATAAAACCCTGGTTTGGGTTAGACATCATGTAAATAACCAGCCCAAAGTGTTTACAAGAGGGCATAAAACACTAAAAAAATTTGATTGCTTTTTTAAAAAAATATTCCTAAGAAACACACCAATCGTATTCTCACAATCACATTCACATACTCTCATCAAAATTAACATTCATCGACCAACAAGAACCATTTCTATCATAACTACTTCATAATTTCTCATAATATTGTATGACAGACCAGATATCAATGATCAACATCAGTTTATTCATATATTAACTATACCTTTTGAATTTTGTTTCTTATAGTGTAGGCAGTTTTATCAAGTGAGTCATCACCAGTCTGAGAAACAGAACAAAAGAGATGTAATAAGTAAATTCTCCCTTGTAGTTGCTTCAAATTTCTAGTAACCACCTGCATATTAGTTAGGAGAATTTGGGATTATGCATGTATATAAAGGTAACACACTCAATTGAAAGGATTCTTAACTCTTGTTATCTTAACATTTGACAATGTCTTGGCATCTGAGAGTTGATAAAAGGAATATTTGAAGGAACATTTTCCTGGACACACCTGTATAAATACCTCCCCCCTCCCCCCTCTTCACCAGTATCCACAGTGATATCAACATCTGAAAATTACACACATTAAATTAACCCTTAACTCCCATGACTGACCAGGACAGAATTTCTCCTCACAATATTAGTAAAATATCAAGCACACAAGTAATGAAAATAAAGAAAAATATCAATAAGGAGATATAAAAAGTTGATCCAATACCAAATCCTCTAAACTAAAATCATATGAATTGTATGGAAGACAGTAAGAAGCGTTACTAATGAGATCTTGGGAGTTAAAGGGTTAAATGCTGAACCACCACACAAGGTAATAAGTGTTTGCCCATACATGTAAGTAAATTCTATTCATGAATCAATATTATGCATAATAAGTCTACTAATTGCCTTAAATTTTTTAAATATCCCCTTATGTCTTAAGAGAGGGGAATTTAGATCCCTAATTTTTCTGAATTCTAATTCTGCTAAAAATTTAGTAACACAGTTCAACCTATGTACAGGCATACTCAAGGATGCGGTGACAGATATTTTAACAATCATAACATCACCACCCAATTTTCTCAGCTTGAAACTTTTGGTGGTGTGCACTGGACTGTCTGGTTCATAAGTTTTATATTGGCAGGTAAAGATGTTACAATGAGAAAACCATGAACACTTTGATTTGATTCTGACTGGCCATTTGTGTCTTGAGTTAAATCAAACGTGGAAAAGAACCTCAAAACCACATACAAGTTACCACTGATGTTTACGGTTCAGTCTCCTTGTAACTTATTGGCTTCTTCTGTAGAACACAATAAAATTCTTATCATTAATATTTATGGAATTTGTGTCCTTAAAATTAATTGATATAAATATTTATGTATGTTTTACTGTAATTTGCAAAACGAAACGAAACAAAAATCTGTAATTTGCGATGGAAATGGAAATATGCTAATGATTTCCATTTTGCAAATCGTTAGCATATATATTTCCATGGAATGAACTGAAAATGCCAGTTCAAATTTCTCACCCCACCTGGGCAAGGTTCAAATGGTCATGGCACCCAAAGTCACAGGTTAACGAATGCAAGCAAAGCAGAAAAAAAAGACAATCCTATTCAAAACCTATCTACCACACCCCAGGTTAATTTTAAGAGGATATAGCATTTTAAGATAGATAGAGCAACTTGCTTGCTTGTTTACTTTTTCATCTGATATAAGATCATATGATATTCCTTTTGTCTTCAAATATTTTGATATCTGTGCACATACTGACACCTTTAAACTTCCAGTAGATAGACAAATTCGGTTAAGGCGCGCTCATTTATCGCGTGACCTAAAATGGGTGAAACAACAAACACGTGTTGGTAAGCTATATAGGTTGACCGAAACAGAAGTAACTATGACTCGGGGATGCGTGGGGACTCGGGAACGTGATAAACAAACCTGATTTTTGCGCTGAATTTGTGAAGTATAATTTTCGGTGGTCTCGAGAAAGGTGTAATATGGGCGGCCATGGAGGACTTTCCTGTTAAGTATATAAGTAACAATGTTTTCTTCCTTATTTCTTTTTTAGCAAGGAAAAGGCACCAGGAAAGTCCTCCATAGCTGCCCATGATGTTTTTAACAGTTTCAAGACCCCCTGCGTTGAAACTATTCTGCACCTAGAGTTCTCATGGTCAAATAGGCAAGCAAACATGTCCAGCCGAACCATGGAGGCTAAAAACCATAGGCTACTACTAACAAGCTCTCCAGTATAATAGCTTTCTCGAGACCACCGAGAATACTCTACAAATTCAGCGCAAATATTGTTAGTGTTGTTTGTTTACCCCCGAGTCCCACGTCCCCGAGTCTCCGCGTCCTGCGTCCCACGTCCCCGTCCCACTTTCAGTCAGAGCCGTAAATATCATGAACATACCCTTCTCGAAAAAACTTGTAGCTCTTTTCATCAGCATTTTTCTTTCCTCCCCGTGCTGGCCAGTCTGAACAAGTCAAAATACTGATTTTAGGGAAATTTCTCAAGGTTTTTTCACCAATTTCTGGTCTCAATAAAGTAATAACACGAACAGCACTGCACATGACTTCGACAACAGAAGCATACAGCCGCCATTTTGAACTGATGTAAACACCCAATTCAAGCCACGTGACTTTTTAGCCGAATGTGTCTATCACAACCTAGCACAAGGAAGTAGTTGTACTTTTTACCCTGATATTGAAACGATTTCCATAAAACCCCATACTCTGCTAAGAGCACAGTTCGAGGATCAAGACATTGTTTCTGAGTAGTATGAGGTTATATGGAAATCTTTCCCTTTTTTTATGGCCAGTCACACCCAGATGCTCACTTTTTGTATTACGACCATGATGCAACGCATTAAGAGTGCGGACACCGCCTGATCAGAGCGCAAGAATAAGAAAGATTTCAATTTCTATTTGCGCATAAAAAGTTTCCAAGGTTACCCTCAACTTTATTCAACCGCTATGTCCTCGATAGCAATAACCGTGTTGCAACCCACTATCGGATTGCTATTCAGGAAAGGCAGAGATAAGGTCGTGGAGATTCTGAAAGATGGCGATATAACAGATCAAAAATTCTTCTCCTTGATCGTCCTGGAAATCGACGAAATCAAGTCAAAGTTGGACGCGTTATCGCGGAAGGATTTAAAAGCGAGTGTCAGTTTCTTTGAGGAAGGAATTGCGTTGTTGTATGAAGTGTTTAACATAGCAAACGCTAGAAGTGTGTGTGGCGCGGTAACAGCTCAAGCGGCTTGCAATGAAGCATTTCCTCTTATTGAAGGAATCAGAAGGTTAGAGATTACTGGCCTGGATGAATCTGCTACAAGAAAGCTTTCCACTGCAAAAAAAAGATTTGAAGATGCTCGAAGGAAAGCAACAGAAGCGTTTAATAACGAAAGCCTTGAAACATCTGACCGCATTCTGGCCATGAAGTATCGAGTAATGGCGACCATATTAGAGACAGTAGACAATCCCGCTGATGCACTGGCACCATGCAGAGTGTGTGTAAAGGAACTAAACTCTCTGCCAGCAGTACAGAATAACTTAAATGTTCAGCTCAGGACAGGCTTTTGGAGTTTTACAAGATTGTTTAATAAAGAGGAAAGAATGGAAATCATCTCCAGTGTCTGTCACGTGAATCATGTCATCTACGATGTCACGCGAACATTTCGTGGATATGCACCCTTTTGGATCTGGCCTACTGTTGATCCTGGAGACAACAAAATCAATACATTGTATGACGCAAGAGTAACCAAAGTACTTGTTGAACAAGGCATGGAGCACTGTTGTGTAACACCATGGTCATTTGGTCAGGAGGGTGAAGGGACGCACAAGCTTAAGTGCCCGAAAGGTATCGCAACAATCTCCAGCGGAGAATTCATTGTCGGGGATTATAGAGATCGTTGTGTGAAGGTGTTTGACAGAAACAGTAAGCTTGTGAAAGTTTTCGGTCTCCCTACCAAGGACGTAATTACACCGTTATATATTGAAGATGTAGTCACAGACATGAACGACAATATCTTTGTGCTGACCATGATGGGGAAGCCTGGTTTTCATGAATCTGAGAGATCTAGCAGATCATGGTGGGTCTATAAACCTACTAAAACCGCTGACTTGCATCACAGGTTTCGTCTGAGAAGAGAGGGTTGGTACAGACGACTATCGGTCAGAGATACAGGGAAAGTAATGACTTTAAGGGACCGTACAGCAGTGGAGGAATATGACAGTAATGGAGAGTTGGTTCACAGTTTTGGAGAAGAAATATTGAGGTATGCGATAGATATCACTATTGCTAATGACGGTCGTGTTTTAGTATTGGACAATTATGATGATTCCTCCCGTAGCGATTCTCTCGGAGCAGATTTGGTTGTTTACATATTCGATGAACAGGGCAACCATCTGAACAAGTTTAAACTGCAAAGAGATTACTCTCTATACACGAGAATTACATTTCACCCAGTAGGTGAACATGTCGTCGTCGCTGGTAAGGAACTAGACAGCAAGCTCCTGGAGGTTAAAATATACAGCAAAGATGGTGAGTTTGTTCGTAGTATACAAATCCAAATTTGTGATGACTTCACTGAAGTAGAAGGGATTGCAGTGAATAATGACGGACGCATTGCTGTTGTTACAAGCAATGCTAAAGTATTCGTTTTATAAACTGCTGTTTTTGACGTTTTCCAGTTGTTCTAAATTGTTCGCTAATTTTTTTGGCTTGAATTAATTAATAAAATACCCAGAATGTACCTGGCTTTAATCTAGATTCTTTAAAGATTATGTTAGGTCTTGGTTTTTATTAGAATTACACTGTTGTTCCAGAGTTTTCCAGTCATGCATTAATAACGGTGTAATAATAATATAGCAGGTAATCACCATGATGTACACCAAATCCTATCTGAGGGTTTGACTCATTTCTTTACAATGTCTTGCTTGATTAAAGTAATTTACAAGTTTCATTCACCAGAACAATTGCGTTTAGTGTGAATATCAGAAAGTAGACATTTAAGTTTTGTCGCTGATTTCTCTTTTGATGGGTGGGTGGGTGGGGAATGTGTATGGCCTTTTAGGAATAGCATAACAATTTTCCTTCATGGCTTTTATTTGCTGCTGATCCTCTTAGCGATGTTCATAAGTTAGTTTCATAAAAGTAGTTTGAATACTTTGTTTTCATAGAATACTTTTATATCATTGTTTTACTCAACTTGATGGGGTTTTAAGACAGAATCTACATAGAGTGAAACAGAAGACTTATAACCAAGGTTATGTGCTCATGATTGAAGGGGTTACTCAGATAATGTAAGTTAAAATGTACTTGATCAATTTCCAGGGCATCGAAGCTAGAGCCCTCCATTCTTTTATTTCACAACAAACTACTTCATGATCACTTCATTCCAAAAGCCTTGCTTAATTGCTTTAAGAGACCTAGTTATTACGTTAAATTAAAACAACAATTGGCTAAAGCTCCAGTCACCAACAATATAGAAATCACAGTAAACACTGATATCTCAAAATCTCTTGTGAGACTCCTGATAAACTCCCACACAAACACTTCTGAAACAAGAACAGTATTTGAAATGCTTTTAATTCAATGTTAGGAAATATTATGGTAATTTTTCCCTTACATTTTGACCATGACTTTTAAAGTAATAATTTTTAATTCATTTAGTTCCAAATTTGTCAGAATATGCATTTCATTTTTCAATATTGCTGCTAAAAAGACCTGTTCAAAGAGTGCAATCAATGTATGTATGTATTTTTGTATGTATGTGTGAATGACTGTAGGCCAATTTTCATAAAAGGCCACCATAGCCTTCTTTAGCTTCCCCAAACAGTTGACAGTCTTAGTCGACAGAAAATATTATTTTAAGTGACTGACTTATTATGTACATTTATTAGTCATTCTAGAATGATCTGGAAGTTTACAATACAAGTAGCTTTTTTCTAAGCATTATAGATTGTAATGCAAGTCTCAATAGAATGTTCTAGAGTTACAGAGCATTGCATTAGATTGCTCCAGTATAATTACAACATGACCAATTAGCTTTCCAGAAATTTCAAGAAACTCTATTTGTGGCAACCCTCCATAATTACAAATGATGTCCAGAGTGATCCTCAAAGTTGAAGAAGCCTGAAAAAAATCAGGATTTGACTGAGTACCAGTCTGCACCTCCATATATCAGTTGGGCACTCAAACAGATGAGCTATGAAGTCACATGTCACAAAGTAGGAAATTATTGTATGAGCAACAAATGAAATAAATCATGTTTTTGATCAGGGGATGATTACCACTAATGGATTGATTCTTGGCTTGCTCCTGGTGTGTGGCTTTGTAGCTCAGTTGATAGAACATTCAACTAGGAACACTCACAGAATTTTGGTTCAAACCCTTTCAAAGCTTGAATTGTTTCATACTTCTTCTTGTGGAACTTCCCTATTACACTTCATCTGGAAATATCACTGGATTACTTCCAGTGTATAATTAACATCAATAATAACTAAATTGACCTTTCCCCTAATGGGGCTTTTTAGGGCCAATACAAACAAATTGAAAATGAACATTGTAAATAAATATGGACTTTAAATATCTTAACTGGCCAAAGGCAAACCAGTTGGCCAAAATAGGAAGCACAACCAACAATTCGACCTTAAGGCAACCAAGAACAAACTCAGTGAGTAGCAGGGTGAAGGGCTTGAACTTGAGACCAGCACCTTAATCCTTTAACTCCCAAGATCTGGTTGTTAATTCTCTCCTCTAGTTGCTAAACAATTCCTTGTAAAGTGATTAGAGAATTTGGTGTAAGATCAAGATAAAACCTTCTTGCTGATAAGTTTGAGTATTCTCATTAACCATTTGCTAGAAAACCTGTGGATATCTTTGGGAGAAGTTACATGTTAACCGCTTCTGGGAGTTAAAGGGTAAACCACTCAGCTACACTGCCTCACTATGTCATTAATTTTTTTTTGCAGAGTGAAATCATATACTGTGATACCTTTAATAAATCTGAAACATATCTCCAGAAACATTTAATTGTTTTTTTGCTTAGTACTAGTATTTTAAAATCAAACTAAGAAAAAAAAAGAAAAAAAGAGAGATCAACTCACTCTTTAGTCTATCTTAGACTCCCAAAAGGTTACTTGGAACTTTTTTATAATGATTTCCTCAAACATTTATAGATTACTGTTAGTGTTTAGCATTATTGGTTGCAAACCAATTTTTAAGTTGTCTTGTTTTTATGATTATAATACTCTAAATTTAAAAAATTATACCAATGCACTTTTGTAACTGTAGAAGCTAGCTATTAACATAAGATAAAATAAAATTTTTCATTGAGTGTCAAATTATTTTATCACCATCAACCAGTGAGGTTTAGTTACTTTTTCAACTATCCAGTGTAGAAGCAAAACCAAGAACAGAAAATAAAGGTTGCTCAAGTTTGATGCTAATCAAATTCTGATTGTTTTAATGGTATCTTCCTGATTTTATTTATTACTTTAGTTTGTGATTAATATTGATATATAATTTTGTCTTTGGCAAAGAATGATTTTGGGGGTGCAAGTGTCTCTAAATTGAAAACTGATCTTTGCCTTAATGAGTCTTGCTCTCATCTTATCCTCTGCAATTTTGTAAAAAAAAGGAAACTAAAAGTGACTTTACTGAACAAGAATCTCTTTCTTAAATTAAAACTTGTTAATTGTCTTGTCACAAGGGCAAAGAAGGGAAATAATCTCAGTCCCCTACAAGGGATTGACCCCCGAACAAGTTAGGCCACAATTAAGGTCATTTGTGACAAACCTGTCTTACATGCAAGCAGCACCAAATTAAGCGGTCACCCAGTATTGGGTGGTTGGTTGTCAAAGTCTCAAATATTTTCCCTTAACAACTGTAATTTTTAATTCCATTCTGTGGTCGTGGTCACCCCTCAATGAATCTTTAAGGCAGGTTTGTATCATTTTCCACCTGCATTGAATAGTCACTTACAGCAGAATCACCCATAATTTAAATAAAATTAAGAATAATCTCTCATGTAAAATGTATTCCATGTGTATCTCCCTGAATCAATGTAAGTACTTTGAGTTAAAAAATGTCCTCAACATTGCAGTTTATGCACAAACATTAGGCAAGTCATTTGCTGATCAACTTGTATTAAGAGGTCAACCTGTACTAAGCTGTGACATGCTACCATTCCCTAAGGGTGACTGCTTAATACAGGTTTGACTATATCTTTTATGTTCTTTATCCTCAGCATATTGATGAAAAAAATTTACCACCTTTCATAAATTGACAACACAACCTTCATATTCTTTTCATTCACTTGCTCATTTCTAATAATCAAGAGAGTTTACATCGACATTTGGCATGAACCCATTTTCTCCTGCTCTATCAAGTTACAGCTGATTCTGTGATTGACAATTTACATTGATTTAACCCACAGCTAATATTCTGTGGAGAGGACAATCTTTTGAACAAATGAGCAAATAAAAGTGACTTTCATTATCATTTCTATGATAAGGCTTCTTCCATGCTTTCCACTGTGCCTGAGCTTAACATCTGAGGAAGAATTGAAAGGATATTACGATAATAATGAAGAGACTTGTAGATTCTGTACAACAAGAAATAAGACCACATTAAAGGTGGTTATTGAAAAATTTCTTTTAAATGTATGGCGTATTCCTTCTTGGTTTCACCACTGATGTGTGTAGTTAGCCTGCAGAACAGGTGTGATTTTGGCAGGCAGGTTAGTATTTTTTTAGTGAAAGTTAAAGCTGCCATCTCTTACTTTTTCAGAAGTGGAGGGCTCTGGAGAGAAGGAAATATTTACCAAGGGGCTGGGCAATAATCAAAAGGAAGGAGAGGGGAGGGGGTGGGGCAATAGAAATTTCTTGTTGTCTTTCCATAGAGTGTCCCCATATCAAACAAGCTTTGCTGAGCTAGTAACAATACCTTGCCTTAGAGAGAAGCCTTTACTGCAGGAGAGTGTGTGGGATGTCTTATTGAAAAGTGAATATTGCAAAGGAAAGAAGTGTAGAGAAAAAAAAGAGTCAGTTGTGGCATGCTGGTTTATTGAAGACCAAATTCTCAAAACTGGAATCCAAAGAAATACAAGACAGTCAGTGCTGACAAACTATATTGAGATCTTGGAGGTAAAAGGTTATATATTGTGATGACTAGCGACAAAGGTTGGAAGAGTTACACATGCACAGTAAAACAATGGTATAGGCTACGCTTACTTCATCATGTGTGAATTGTGGATGAATGACGCTATTTATCAGAAAATATGTAGGAAAACAAATACCCGTGAAATTGCAATCTGTTTGTATTTTGTTTTTGCCAGCTTTTGAAAAGACCTGATTCAATTCAATACATTGCTCAGAAAGATGATAATACTGTTTCCGATGGCTTCTCACACTGACATGGATCTGAGTTTATTTTGCTCAGGAGGTGGTGATGCTAGGAAAGGCTGTGTAATGCACTAGAAAGCATATAACACAATCAGAAGGCATTGTCATGCCTTGTTATATTATAGTGTCACAATGAAGCCATGCTACTTTTAATAGTTAAACTAGACGCATATTTGCGTTTACCCGGGCTTTCTGTTGGGAGTACTCTTTTTTTTTGTTCCTTAAAGCAATTATTAATTTCTCCTGTAACTGTTTTTTCTCTTGGTATGCCAGAG